TCGCAATAACAACTATAAGATGGAGAACCGACCCAGTAAGCAAAAAACCATTATTACAATGTTATTACAACGATATTCTAGAACTTGTAATGTTGTTAAATATGTAGTTCTTAATGTTGTATAGAACATCATTACATTATAGAACATACATTATAGAACATACTTTGACCACGATTCCGAAATTTCAGTAATGTTGAAATGGGAGTGCCATAACATTGCAAATAACATTGCGCTAAGGTTTTTCTATCATTCCTGTAATGTTTTTGAGATAAAAATTTAAACGTACTATCAACTTTATTACAATATTATATTAAGATTACCCTAATGTTAATTCTAACATTTATTTAAAGTTCTTATTGATGTTTTATTTCTATTACAGGCAACATGTTTTCAATAAATATGCAATAGTAATAAAATATCTCAATATTTATTGTCTAATTATTATTTAGATTGCTTTTTTATAGACCAGGCTTGGACAACTTTGAGCTCCAGAACCATGACATTTCTTTTCTATCCACGGAAAGTAGGGGAGTGTCGTGGCTCCGGAGCTCGAAGTTGCCCAGGCCTGTTATATACCAATCTGCATTAGGGAATAATTCACTAATTATCATAAAAAAGTTTTATTTATATAAAAATAATATATACCATGTATTACAGTTTTCAGTTTATCACAATAATATCTTTGGTGAAGATCACTGATCCTAGCGTAAGGTTTTGGGATAAAACTCATCTTTCAAATAAAAAAATTTGTTACTATAATAATCACTCGCGCGGAGCCACGCAAGTAAGATAATATATTTATCACTTCCTGAAAAATAAAAGTAGAATTAAATTAGTGAAAAAGCTACTTATAAATTATAACGCGGCAAACTATAACAATTTTATTTTATAGAGAGTATATACCGAAATACATTACATTACCTTTTTAATGTTTTTTTTCCTTACGGACGTTTGCGAATCTGAACCACTCCATTACAAAGTGTTGAAAATCTTTTTCTGTATTCCGAGGGAATATTGCTCTAAAAGCTTCTGAAATAAGAAAAATTCAATACAGTTTATTGTTAGATGAAAGAAATAAATAATGTTAATTTAACGGCAATTAAAACTTATGATAATTATTGAAATAACACAAAAGTTTCCGGAATAGTTTACATATATACTTAAATCGATCAAAAATATTAGTTTATGGATATATATATTTTTCTTTTATTTCGTAAGAATTTTTAACGTGTATGTGTGTCCTGCTTTTTAACGATGATTGCTACAAAAAATAAGGAGACAATTTTAATAAATTCTGAGACATAAAACATAGCATTTAATACTGCAAGTAATATATACATTTCTTAAAAAATTACTTATTTTTAATGCTCAGAATTGTGTGTGCGTATCTCCAATTTTATAATTATTTTTTTGGCCAGTTCATGAACACATGGAGGCTAAGTCATCAGAAAATGTAGCCCTCAAACTTCTTCTAATAAAATTCTTTTCATGTTTCCCTCCAATTAACATAACCTTGTTCACCTGAAAAATTTATACTTGTAATTCTATATAATGCAGTTTATTATTATAAATTGCAAGAAAAATAATTCAGAAGACTTTTAAAATATAATAACACATATTATAGGATATTATAGAACATATTAAAGGACATATATTATAGATATAAGTTTGTAAGATTAAGAGTCAGAGTAACCATTTTTGGTTTTGAACGCATTGAGTGCTCCTCCTCAAGATTCTATTTGATCGTTTTATACATAAAATATACAGTTAAATACATTATGGAGATTAATACAAATACATTTTGATTTTTGAAGGACATACCATATTTGAAAACTTTACCGACAAAATTCTACCTTCTTTTAGAAAGTTTACATATATCGTATTGGTTGCATAGAATTACAAATGCTTTTACATAATAAAAATAGGTGTAAATCAATTAGAGCATTTGCTCAATATATTACAAAAATGATTTAAAAATTTCAAAGTAAAAATCTCGAGCTGTCAGTGTAAATATTTATTTGTTACAAAAATTGTACAACTTTTATATATTATCAGTATGTTTGCTCCGTTAAAGAAAATTGTAAAAAAATATTACTGTACCATTTCCATTAAATTTAAAAGCTTAAAAATATATGAAAAGTTTGCAAGAAGATTTTTATATATAAATACTTAAGCTTTCTGCTAAATATGGTAAAACAAAGCAACACACATTTATATATAGAAGATCCATATATGCATAAAAGACTTGAACAATGTAGTATGAATGCGTTAGTACTTATTTGATATGACGTTTGGATGATTTTGTCTGTATGTTACGCCACAATCAAAATAACTATAAACATAGTAGATACAGATAATGCGCAATTACTATCTTTGCCGAGATCTTTGCTATAGGCACTATATTGAAAATAATACCAAAAAATCGGTAAAAATTACAAGTCCTGGTGATCTCTTTGTCGACTCTGATGGCGCAGAATAATCGAGTTTATTTTTTTCAACTGATTTATTACGATGAAAGATAATACAATAGGTCGCTGTTTTGCACGTTCAACGGAAAATAACGAAAAGTCTTGCAAGAAGAAGGCGGAAGCAACGTCCGGAAACATAAAAATATATAGAAGTGAAAGTCTCATGCTAGTGATTTATATTTCCACCAATCGTAAAAGGTTAATCTATATAGCGTGCGCGTATCATGTAAGACATAGAATAAGTTTGTAACTCTGAGTTTAGAACATAAACAGACTCTAAATTGCAAATATTATATTTACTACTCTTGGAGAGAAAGGGAGAAAAAGGGAGAGAAAGAGGGAGGGAGAGGAGATATCTCTTACAGTCTTTTCTCTTAATTCTTAAATTTTCAAAGTCTGCAGATTTTATTGTGTAAATTTATATCTACTACGATTATGTAACTATTATACTAACCGGGAATGTTATTTGTAAATGTTTATAGAATTAATTATAATTGTGATAAGCAGCTTTACTTACAACTTGCATGAAAGCTTCTTGATAAGTTTTTAGCATATCTTCAAATTGTCAATGGAAGATAAAGGAATGAGATATTGTCCAATCTTTGTATCTTGTACAATACTTTCCTTAGAATATTGCTCAGCCTCGCGGCCCGAGTACATCAAGAATATGTTCGATCCTTATTAATACTTTAGTATATTTTTTTTCTTCTGCAAATTTCTCTCTTATATAGGTCGAAAAATAGATCTTGAATCACCAGCTACCTATTTACAGCACATTAGATAATTGCAGGGTTCTTATCATTAATATGCAAGATTTAGAATATAATAATTACTTACCCATATAAAAATGTTGTATACAATTAAAAGCGCTCGACAGCGCACAAGCGCACAAGCACAAACGTACGTATATATGACACACTCACACATCATACGTATATGTAAGATAATGCGACTACAGTCTCCAGAACTATTACTGCTTCTGATTGGCTGTCGCAACAAGCGTGCGTTTGCTCATGATCTCGACGCACTCAAACAGCTGAAAATAATCGGCAGTAATTTGCAAGAAAATAGCAAATAATTCCACTATATAGTTTCTACCGATACCCAAAGAACGTTATTTGTAGTTAACCTAAATTATAGGTTATATAGATCATCATATCAGCTACTATTCATAGCACATATGGTTAATTGAGTTCTTATTATTAATATACAACTTTTAGAATATAATAAGTTACTTATATATAAATATACTGTAAATAAAGAGCACTCCGCACTGCTCGATCCACACGTGTGTATACGCACTCACGCATCGTACATACGTAAATGTACGCATCATGGCTGTCGCGATGAGCGTTGAGCACAATATAAAACAATAACATTCTAACAACAGAAAATTAATATACTACCAATGTTATTTCCAAGTCCAAATTACAAGGAATTTTGAACTGTTGCATTAATCTCAAATAAATGTCAGAGTAACATTTGAAAAATATTTTCTGTAACGTTTTTAAAATATTTTAACAACATTCAGAAAAATCATATTACGAAATAATATTTTTTAAATACGTGTATAATATTATTAAAAAACGTTTAAAAAATACACATAAAGTCAATATTTTTAAACGTTAATTTAATGTTCCTTGCTTACTGGGCGGCGCCTTGTTGCTTGACATCGATGATCAAACAGGGTAGTGGTGATCCTCTGACTCTGACGCTTCTTTCTTTCTTTCTTAAACTTGCTTATTTTGGTGACCATAAAGCTATCGCATAACAATATTAACAATACAGATATACGAATAAATCTTTTTTGCCAGTCAACGTCGAATATTAATTTATATTAAATATTATTAAGTATTTTATATTTTATATTAAAAATGCCATATGACAAAATTTGGAATATCAGAAAATTCTTAATATTATAAAAGAGAAAAAATGCAATAAAATGTAATAATTATATAATAATAAATTTAATTTTTTATAAGTTCTAAAGTCTGTCAGCAACTTTTCGGAAATATTACAAATGCAATGTTGTATGTGAAACATTCAAAAATATAACGCGTGCAATTTAAATGTAAATAATAGTTTTATCATGTATCAAAAATGTTTCTAAACCATTACATCTGGAATATTTCTTCTGCAATATTGTAGAAATTCACTGTCTGCAATTCAATTTTTCATTCCCTACGCAATCCTTCAGAAATTTTTCAGAAATATTTTAAATGCAATGTTGCGTTTGATATGTTACAGAAATATTATTTGTGCAATGCAAACGTAATATTACTTTTATAATGTTTCAGAAATATTTCTGAAATATTACATCTGCTACATTTTTTTGCAATATTACAGACACTTACAAACATTGTAAACAACTTTCTGAAAGATTTCAGAAATATTGTTAATGCAATATTATAAAAAACATGATGCAGGTACATTTCTGAAATATTTCAGATACATAGTTATAAATGAAATGTTAACAAAATATTTCTGTACTATTTCCGAATATTTCAATATTTCAGCAACATAACATGCCGAGTGGGTATAGAAGCATTTTCTAAAGAGTTCCCGGCACTAGCAATGTTGTATAGTTTTTAAATAAATTTATAACGTCCGAGAATCGAGTACTTGGAGAGAATAGGGTGAGACGCTGTTCGATTTTTAACAGTTCTATTATAATTCTCGTGTAGTTCTGAACGTGTTCTAACGTTTTCTAAAAAGTTCTGACGATAAGCATTATTTATTCATTTTTTAAATAATTTTTATCGCCCGAGAAAGACGCATTTGCGGGTATATGGGTGAGACGCTGTACAAAATCTCGAAGTTCTGGCTTATATAAAATATTTTTCGTATAATTCTGAGCATATTGAAGCAATTTCTTAAGAGTTCCGGACATTGGCAATGTTGTATAATTTTTAAATAAATTAATAACGCTCGAAAGTCAGGAATTTATCGAGAATAGGGTGAAACGCTGGCCGATTTTCGACAGTTCTGTGAGGTCTATTATAATTCTCGCGTAGTTCTGAACGTGTTCTAACGTTTTCTAAAGAGTTCTGACGATAAGCATTATTTATCATTTTTTAAATAATTTTTATCACCGAGAACAACGCATTTACGGGTATATGAGTGAGACGCTGGCCGATTTTCGACAGTTCTGTGATTAATAAACATTTGATTTAATACGATTATAGCTTATCCTTTTATAATTATTTCAATTTACTTTATTTTATTATTTTTTTAGTACCTGCACCTATTTATTTAATCAATTCCGGAAAATTACTTGTTGTAGAATTTCATTCCAAGATTCTAAACAAAAATATAGCGATGGTACCAAAAAGCTATGATAATTTTGAAGAAAAAAAATGTTTTGTTTTTTTAAAGTACCTTCCACCCATTTTATTGGTTCGAAAAAATTACTTGTTGTAGAATACTATCCCAAAATTCTACATAAAATATATGGCGATCGTACCAAAAGCATATCATATTTAAAAAAAATAAAAAAAAATACTTTATTTTTTAAAAGTACCGCTTACCTATTTTATTGCTTCCAAAAAATTATGTCCAATAGGAAACTACTCCAAGATTCAAGAAAAATTTTTTCGTAATTGTACAAGAAAGATATTGGGACTAAAAAAAATCAAGAACATTTATTTATTTTTTTTATTAATGTTTCTGTCATCAGAAACGTTTCCCGGATTTTCCACAAATGTGTCTTAATAATATCTACAACATATTAAAATTTCATCAAAATTTCATCATTAAGCTGATCAAAAGATATGAATTATTTTTGATATTTTTGTTTTTATTTTTTACAGCAAAACGGTTCAATATTAAGGGCTAATATTCGATTAAATTGTAAGTGACACTGATAGCAATCAAAGGAAAAAAAAGAGCATGATCCGTGAGGGGGCACATTGACCTTTCTTATCCGGCTACGCCCTTTCTACTCTGTCATCGAGCTTTACTCTTGCGAACCTATATGTAAGTGATTTTAATAGGAAATTTGATGCTGTATACGAATCCGATAATAGTTTTTGCATATCTCCAAAATTTTCACGTTTTTGGAGTGACAAAGTAAAAAACGAGGTTCGGGGCAAAGTCGACACGTCGACACCACGCCGTTTCATCGGCTTCCAATAACAAACGATGCTTGTTATGCAGCCATATGGCTCATGACAAATGTGTGTGTGTACGTCCGATCGCGAATTTACTTGTATAAATTGTTTTTCAGACATGTGTTTATATAAAAATAATTGAAAGTTTAACAAGTTTTGTTCTCATTATTTCCAATGATTGTTTTACTTAATTACGAATTTTTGTACTTTCCAAATACACGATAAACAATATATTCAGTTTCAGACAATAAAAAATAAGTTCCAGATCAAATTGTGTCGATCAGGTAAAGTGTCGATTTTACTCCGGTATTTTTCAATTTAAAAATTTGTCTTCGCATCACTTTTCCTTTCCTGGGGGCAAAACTAAGCGACATACAGCAAAACTTCCCTAAGCAATTTTGTACCTGAAGGAACACTCTTTAAATGTGTACCATTAAATTTGCTTGACAATTTTATTTAATTGTTGAAAATTGCCTTTGAAAAAATTGTGTCAAGTTTGCCCTGGTCTCCCCTACTTCATTTTCCAATTAACTTATTATAATCTTTTCAAAATTAAATTAATACCTACTCAACATTGGTCTAACTTTTTGATTTGAATCAAATATTTACATGTTAAGTCCGACAAATATAGAACAAATTTTACTGCAAATATTATTTAAATTAAAATACGTTTTAATAAGAATTAATAAATTAGAACTAAATTTGGGTTAAAGCCGTAATTGAATCGAGTAAAAGTCGCATATAAAACACATGAACTTTTTATTAAATATATGAATATTCTGCATCATGTATGGTTCTGGATCATATATAATCCGCATAAGTAATCTTATTAAATATAGATAAAAACCATATTTTATTGTGGCCCATATTTAACCTACATAAATGATTTCATGAAATGCAAATTAAAACCGTTTTTAAAAAAATATAATCTTAACTTAAAATCTGGGTTTAATTAAGTTTTATACAGATATAATGCGATTTAATATGATTTTAGTTATGTTCATATTAAATTGTTTTCGCGGGATTACATATATTTCCATATGAATCTCATATGTATCCATATATCAGTGCATATATATGATCTATTGTTCATATTTAGTTATATTTAAAATTATACATGCTCATATATGATATATGGACCCATGTATAAATTTGTATAAAATTTCTACTAAATTCATACCAAATTTCACATAAAATCATATATATTTATATATAATTATATATAATCTTTTTTTCCCGGGATGTGTTTTCTTGGATGTATCTATATGAATGGTAGATCGCAAGAATACACTATTATTATAGGTCTGTGTTTTCTAGCTGAATTAATGTATGTACAATGTACATACTTCTTGTACTTAAAACAAAACAGGTATATATTTGAAATTTGGCGAAAGTGAGAAGAAAAGTTCTAAGTACAGCAATAAAAAAACAAACCTTTCATGTACGTATAATAAATATACAATAAATTTGAATGTACGGCAATATAAAATATGTTTGAAATCCTTATTGAATGTCTCATTTGCATATCTAATTGTACCTGAAAGAGAGGAATCTCTTTTCACGAGATTGCAGAGAACATGCATGCAAATAGATTAATGTAGGAAAGCAGAAGATGGTTCTAAATTTTTAAATCTATTTTAATATATAAACAAAATTACATAAAAATTATTTTATTTTACATAAAAATTAGACATGGCAACGTTATATGTATTATTTATGACAGGATAGACATAACACCAGGCGCATAAATCTTCACTTGCCAATCCGACGAGTTAAACAGATATATTGTTTTTTCTGCCAAATGATATTTAGATCTAATGGAATTCATTTTCCAATGAATAGTTAGTTTACCGGATGCATCTCCGGAGTGTCCTGTCTTAAATGGTTGTGTCGTAACACACAAATGTGCTATATGTTTTAAGGTATTAGCAACTATATCTGTATTCGAAGTCTGTATATTCCCTTGATATATATGTGCAAGAATACAAAGCTGCGACGAGGGATACGACGCTACAAACGATCTTAAACATCTTATAAAATACATAGTATCACGTATACCAAGTCCAAGATCAAGGAAGTGGTTTATATCATCGATAATAAGAACAACAGACTTAGAGAACCTTGCTGCGTCTTCATATTTTTCTTTAACGCATGTAAATAATCTACGCACAATATCAATATCTCCCATAGGAGTTCTATCTGGAATTATTGTTTTTGTTTTATCTACAAAATTCTCGTACATATCAGTAACATTGTTGGCTATAATTTTCATCGGCTCAACAACAGTGACTTGGCCCTTTTCTTTTAGATTAAGAAGATTGTAGCCAAATCTCATGCCGATGTTATGATAATGACTAAAAGTATTATGACAAAGAACGAGGCAAACAGCAGCGTTCATTTTTTTTAAAGCATGTGATAAAATGGCATTTACTAAGAAATTCGCGTTGCTACCATGTCGTTCTTCAATCAAGATTGTTTTACCGTCCATGTTTACTTTGTCAATTCCAAGAATGTTGCACACCGTTACTACTGAGCTAGCCATAATAAACTGAAAACTAAAGGCATATTATTATCATTATTATCATTATTATTATTTATCATTATTATTATTATTAATATTAATATTATTATTATTATTATTATTAATACATATCTTACAAAAAACGATATGTTTATGCAACAAATTTCTAACCTGACAAATCGTCGAATTGTACGTCTAATCGTCTTCTATTTTTATAACCTGTAAAACGAACAATCATGTCAAGGAATGTCAAGAACTACAATACAAAAGTTAAATGTATTTTGGTCACAATCAATATAATATAATAACGGTAATTATACAGTCTAGGGATTTCACCTCCAATATCGATGAAATTATGCTCAATTGACGCGAAACGAAAGAATCTGGCAGAAAAAGTGTCGCTCTGCTCCACGAAACGAGATTTTAATCGTTAAAGTTGACGACTATTCTGGTTATGAAACTTGTCATACCGACGAAATGTTGCAGCTACTAGCAGAAAGAAACCTGAGAGAGGCCATCCCTGCGTTTTTAGTAGTTTTTACTGGGGACGCATAGGGATTCTCTAGTGAGGGATGGGACAAAGCCGCCATTAATGGGATAGCGGAAGTGACGGCAGGCATTACGCGCCATTTTTTAATAAAACAAAATAACCGTCGAAAATATGTCTACATACATTCAATTCTAATCGAGGAATTATTTCAATTAAATTGAAGTAAATAAATAAAACTTAATTAAATGAAATAAATTCCGTAAATGAAGAAATTGAGTAAACAAACAATAAATACTGATAAATATAATTTATCACAAAAAGTTAATAAATGCAGTAAATAATGCAATAAATAATTTTTTTTATAAATATAAGAGTTTTTGTATAAATTTAGCAAATTTGTAAATTTGATAAATAAAAAAAAACAGAACAATTTTGAAAATTATTTTTATATTAAAAATGTGTTGACGCGATTGTCTGAGCTTATATTTATCATATATTAGTTAATTTGATAATTTATAGTTAAGGTTATGTATTCTCTATATATATTCTCATTTCAGTATTAAATGATAATATAAAATCACATTCAATTTTAATAAAATTGGATTTATTAAGGCTGCGTTCGGGGAGCGCGCTATTAGCGCTATTGCATCGTTCTATCTTTATCGCTTATCAGATGTAAAACAAGGATAGAATAAGCAAATAGCACTAATAGCGCCTCCCCGAATCCAGCCTAAGTACAATGCTTACAATTTTATTTTTTCTCTTGCTCACTTTGGCTGCATTCGGGGAGCGCGCTATTAGCGCTATTGCATTATTGTATCTTTATCGCTCGTCAGGTGTAAAACAAGGATAGAATAAGCAAATAGCGCTAATAGCGCGCTCCCTAAACGCAGCCTTTATCAGTTATAACACAGTATGTATGTACAGTTATACTATGGTCATATGTTATAAATTGACATATACTATACACATATTGACATATACATGTACATACATACACTATCTTTACTAAAATATACTCAAAGCGGAAATATCCCATTAATGGCGGACGACCAATCCGCATCCTGCAGCCTCGGTGTCCTATTCCTCCCTAGAGGATCCCTAGGGACGCATTACCAGAGAGAAACCTGAGGGTGCTGTCCCATGGACATCGGAATTATC